AACAACAACAACAACGGCCAGTATAGTCCCACAAGTGGGGTCTGGGGAGGATCGTGTGTACACAGACCTTACCTCTACCCTGATCGGGTAGAGAGGCTGTTTCCGAAAGACCCTCAACTCAAGAAAATGAAAAAAGACAATATATCAGTACCATCAATAAAAACCTGTAAATAATCACGACATCGCAAGTTACCAGTGAATAAATGGAAAGCAGAAATAATAACCAGTAAATAACGGAAGAGTAGTGAAAATACAACACTGGCCACTAGCAGTCTAAGAACAAATCATATCAGCCTAGCCTCACACTGGTAGATTAAATGAACTAAACCAACTCCTAACCTACAACCTTAGTGCTTGACCTCCACAGCTTCCTATTGAGTGCCATGTCCTCGGAGATCTGAAGCTTTGCCATATCCCGCCTGATCACCTCTCCCCAATACTTCTTAGGCCTCCATCTACCTCTCCTCGTACCCACCAATGCCAACCACTCGCATCTCCTTACCGTGGCATTCAAGCTCCTCCTCTGAACGTGCAACCATCTGAGCCTCACTTCCCACATCTTGTCGTCAATGGGAGCCAAGCCCACCTTCTCCCGAATATCTTCATTCCTAATCTTATCCATCCTAGTGTGCCCACACATCCACCTCAACATCCTCATTTCTGCTACTCTCATCTTCTGGATATGTGAGTTGTTAACTGGCCAACACTCAGTCCTATACATCATGGTCGGCCTAACCACCACTCTATAAAACTTACCTTTGAGTAGCGGAGGCACTTTCTTGTCACACAGGACTCCAGATGCTAACCTGTATTTCATCCACCCCACCCTAATAAGGTGTGTGACATCCTCGTCGATCTCCTTATCCCCCTGGATAATCGCCCCAAGGTATTTGAAACTGCCTCTCTTGGGAATGACCTGCGATCCAAGCCTGACGTCCATGCCCGCTTCCCTTGGCTCGGCACTGAACTTACACTTAAGATAATCCGTCTTCGTCCTGCTAAACTTGAAACCCTTAGACTCAAGGGCCTGTCTCCAAACCTCCAGCCTCTCGTTAATGCCACTCCGCATTTCGTCAATCAAAATAATGTCATCAGCGAATAACATACACCATGGCACTTCTCATTGAACATGGTGGGTCAGTGCGTCCATCACTAGAACAAACAAGAAAGGGCTGAGCTCAGATCCTTGGTGTAACCCCATAACAACCGAAAAATGCTCAGAGTCGCCTCCCACTGTCCTAACCCGAGTCTTAGCTCTATCATACATGTCCTTAATAGCCCTAATGTAAGCAACTGGCACACCTTTAGCCTCTAGGCACCTTCAAAGAACCTCCCTAGGAACCTTGTCATATCCTTTCTCCAGATCAATAAACACCATGTGTAAATCGTTCTTCCTATCCCTGTACTGTTCCACCAACCTTCTAATAAGGTGGATAGCTTCCGTAGTAGAACGACCCGGCATGAACTTGAACTGGTTATCTGATATAGACATCGTCCTCCTCACCCTCACTTCTACTACCCTCTCCCAAACTTTCATGGTATGACTTAATAATTTGATACCCCTATAGTTGTTGCAACTCTGGATGTCAACTTTATTTTTGTACAATGGAACCATCATACTCCACCTCCACTCATCTAGCATCCTCTTCGTCCTGAAAATAATATTAAACAACCCAGTCAACCACTCACAAGCCTGCTCTACCCATACACCTCCAAAATTTGACCGAAATCTCATCAGGACCGGTAGCTCTGCCCCTGCTCATCTTATGCATAGCCCACACGACCTCCCCAACCTTGATGCGCCTACAGTACCCAAAATCGCGTAGGCTCTCGGAATGCCCCAACTCGCCTAGCACAATATCCTGATCCCCGTCTTCATTCAGAAGTTTATGAAAGTACGTGTGCCATCTCCGCTTAATATGGGCCTCTCCCATCATTACACTACCGTCCTCATCTTTGATGCACCTCATTTGGTCCAGATACCGGGCCTTCCTCTCTTTCACCTTGGCCAGCCGGAATAATTTCTTCTCCCTGCCTTTGGCCCCTAGTTCCTTGTACAGACGACTAAAAGCCGCAGTCTTAGCCTCTATGACCGCCAGTTTTGCCTCCTTCCTAGCTACCTTATACCTTTCCCTGTTCGCACTCCTCTCTTCCTCGCATGTGCTCCTAACTAGCTTCAGGTACGCCGCCTTCTTCGCTTCCACTTTACCTTGAACCACTTCATTCCACCACCAATCGCCTTTGTGCCCGCCAGCGTAACCCTTCGAGACTCCCAATACCTCTCTCGCTGCCTCCCATATGTAATCCGCCGTCGTCGACCACATAATGCTCACGTCTCCACTGCTCCTCCAGGCTCCCACAACCGAAAAGCTCCCTTCCAACTCCTGATCTTTATCCTTAGTCAAGGCTCCCCACTTGATCCTCGGTCAAACTCGTGCAGTCTTCCTCTTCCTCTTCATCATAATACCTTCGTCCATAACCAACAGTCTATGCTGCATCGCAAGGGTCTCACCCAGGATAACCTTGCAATCCTGATACATCCCTCTATCGCACCTCCTTAGGAGAAGACAGTCAATCTGAGTCTTCGCCACCATACTCTGAAAAGTAACCAAATGTGTCATGACCCAAACTGATGGGCTGTGACGAGTGCCCGGGTTCTACCTATCGAGCACTCCTAAGCATTCGTCTAAGATATAAACATAAAATAAGTGTAGGTTATGCATAACATCTGGAAATAAACTACTAATTCATATGAACAACCTACGTGAGAAAACATGCCCANTGGGACTGGGCCCCGTCGTACCCATATATGTATGCAAACACATCGTACCGAAACTCAAAGCAGCTCCGGATCAAATGGAGCACACCAACTCTCGCTGATCAAGGATCCTAAGAAGGGGGACCGTCTGCCTGTCTACCTGCACATGCGGGCATGAAACGCAGCATCCCCAAGCAAAAAGTTACATCATTGCGAATAATGTAATGAGTATGTAAAATATAAAAATCAGTACATAAAAGACATAGATGAAACATGGGATAAAGAATTCCACCTGTGAGTCTAAATAACTTTGTGAATCCTGAAACATTTATAATGTCATGCATGTACGTATAAATGTCGTATCATGCATAGGTATAGGTGTACATAACATCATCAAGCCTCTGAGGGTATCCCATCATATCATCTCGGCCACTATGGGTAAAATTATCAATATATACCAGATGATCAGGTGGTAGTGTGTATATAATGCCGTAACCTTTTCCCATATCCCATATACATATAATATACGCGTATATAACGCCTTCTGGTCATAGGTCAATGTACATGTATAAATGCATGAAATGCATAAGAAATCGTTAATAAGATTTCTCGAATATCATAAAATTAATATGCCTTTCGGACAAACTTTATCAAATACGTATTTTTCTAAGACCCATGAATAAAGGATATAATAATAATTCACATAGGGAATCAAGAATATAGACACCCCTAGTATTTCTATGAATAGAGTCATTTATGAAAGTTGCATATTTTTCTCGTTTCGTTTGTATCATTTGGATCATGCAAAAAAGAAAGAAGGGATAGCCTTAACATACCTCAAGTCGTCAATGCAACTCAACAACAAGCTTATGACAATTAGCGCGCCAACCCTATAACAAAGAAATGCGTGTACAATTTAGATGGCGGTAGTATATTACGTATCTCAAACGATAACTCGACTCTAAAATAAAACGGGCAGCATTTTCCCTGATTTTAATGCTCCCTCAAGCCTACTATAGGCGAGATACAAACATAATACAATCAGTAACTCAAAACCAACCTAGTTACAATTCGGGACCTTCAATACAACAAATCCCCCAAATATACCATAATACACCCAATCAACAAGTTATCAATTACCCTGTAACTACAACGACGAGTGACCAACCTACTACCCTACCACATGTGGCGTTTCTCCATGCCCTTTTTATCCTTCCAAACTCCATAAATCAGCAGCACAATAGACAGCCCAAAAGCAACATGAAACAACCCACAAAACAGTTCACTACAAGTTAAATAACTCGAACTCACGACTTCCGATCACCGTCCCGTGAGGTCTAACTATTAGGAAATGAATTTATCAACTTTTCTTGATATTTTAAAGCTTGAATACAAAAATGAGGAATTTTTATTAACTATTAAATACATTCCAAAACTCAAACTACAAAGAAAAAGAGAGGCGATATAACGATACTTACGTCGTAGGGATTATTCTGATGTTATCGCTTCTCGATTTCGTACCCGGGATGTTAGTATTATTTAAAGCACTATTAGAGAGCTCAAGGACTATTTTTATGGTGTTCTCTGGTCAGATTCTGTGTAAAACGTAAGAGAGAGAGAGACGAGTTAAAACATATATAACAACTTATGAAAAGTCAAAAGGTGCTAGCTTGGCACCCTCTGATTCGTCCATCTTCCGACGCTTATATATTTTTATCTGGATATCGTATGAATGAACGGTTAAGAGTATTGGAAACTATATTCTAAGACCTTCGGTTTGGTATATAATATATCCCAAAAAGACCATATATAGTACACGAAATGTATTTCTTAAAAAGCTCTGTTACAGGGCAAATCCTTAGTTGGTTTTTTCGTAACTTTAATCCGATTTTTTCCAAACTTTATATGTTTTATCCAAACATCATATATAGTCATATTATGACTTTAAACTCATTTAAATCATGATTAACAAGTGTTATATTCATTAAATGTCATCTTGGGACGCACAGGGTGTAACAAAATGTTCCTCTCTCTTTGGAAATCTAGAGTTAGCAATCACCAGCTCAGATGCCTTAGCGAAATCCAGCAATGAAGTTCCTCCTACGTTCCTCTCACCAAAACCGAAGCCACCATGTACCTCGCCATAGCCGCCTACAGTCGACCCAATATGACCATTGAAATTCCCTCCTATAAATAATCTCTCAGCAGGTGGAATACTACGCATAATCTCATCCAACCCCTCCTAGAAGCGCCTCTTGACCTCCTTATCCAAGCCTGCTTGCGTCGCATACACACTCATGACATTTAGGGTACTCTCTCCAACCACCAACTTAATAGACATTAACCTATCATTCACCTGCCTAACCTCTACCACAGACTCTCTAAGTTCCCTATCCATCAGAGTACATACACCATTCTTACCCTTCAGGACTCCAGAGTACCACAGCTTGTACTCGTCTGCATTCCTCGCCCTCGATCCTACCCATCGAGCCTCTTGGACATACGCTATATTGACTTTCCTCTTCTTCGGGATCTTTTCCAGCTCTATACACTTACCCGCCAATGTACCTATGTTCCAGGACTCAATTCTCAACCTATATGCACCTTTGTGCCCCTTACCTCCCTTGCCTCCTGTCCCACCCCCTGGCCCATCCACTGGCCTCCCCGAGGACATGACCTTACTCTACCATCCCAAACTATAGCCACTGTACCTATAACAGACTAAGGAGAATCATTCACTTGCACTAGGCAAACGGACCAGACTAGGAGAAAACAAGTTGCAGCTAATAGAATGCTTAACACTAATGCGAACTAAAAAGGCGATAATTTAACTACCACAAGGGAAAGAAGATTAGGAAAGCGGGAGGTACCAACTCCCGAGAATAGAACCTGGAGGTTGTCTTGGTGCACACGGCGCTGTTGCGACACCTGGCTAGCAGCCCTTCTATATTTGCGCGTCCGTTCCTCGTTCGTCTCCAATAGCCACCACGTAATACCTGAAAGAAACAACAAACCCAAGACCAAAAAAACAAAGGGTGCTGCCTCCGCTACCACCGGTGGAACCCTAACAAACGCAAAGAAGAGAAAAATAAGAGAAAAGGAGGGGAAACAAGTGGGGGGATATTTGGTCTAACACACAAGTACAACGAAGAGGAAGAGAAGAAGGAAAGAAATGGAGGGGGAGAGGGATAGGGGCAGAAGGGAGGGCAGTGATATGGGGAGGGGGGAAGGGGATCTTTCTGAGAACTAGGAAGAGAGAGGGCGACCAGACGACCGTCACCGATGTCGCGCCGACTATGGGGGGAGAAGAACAAGACAGGGAAGAGAGTTGGGGGGTGTGAAAGAAATGAGGAAAGAGAGATAGGGATGTGAGAGAGATGGGGGAAGAGAGATGGGGATGGAGAGAGGGGACTTACCTTGGGGAGAGTGGTTGTCGGCGTCTATGCTGGTCGCCGGAAGTGAATTAGTCGTTAGGGCTGGGAGAAATTTCGGGGAGAGAGAAAGTCGTAGAGGAGAGAGAGTACCGAAAGATAGATCTTTAGTGACACTGGTAATATCCTAGATAATCTCCAATAGTATATAAAAATTAAGAACTTTACCAAATTAGATCGACATTACAAGGATAAAAATAAAATAAATCACAATACAAAAAAGAGGTTAAATTCTATGTATGCAATTTGATTATATGCTTATGTAGCATCTTACGTAAATAGAAGAAAGAGAGAAAATTATGGAAGTGCCATTCAATTCAAGTAAGATCAAGTTTATAGGACCTACGCTTCACGTTTGTGTAGTTTAAATCGAAAAAGAATTCCATCATTAGGTAATTTACACTTAAATCCTTAAATTATACAAATATTTAAGGGCATCAAAGTCGATCAATATTTCAAGAATATTTTAGTCATTCAATATTTACCATAAATTATTCGTGCTTTTATAATAATATAGATATAGATATAGATATAGATAGATTAACATATATTACACAACACCTATTTTTAAATTACGCAGTTGTGTGGATAACTATTTAGGCTAATTCTTAGAAAGAAACTTCTAACCCATGGACATTTTGTCCCAACACCATGCTACAGACTTGCATCGATGATGGGCTTTAAAGTCCAATTAATTTCATAGGCCCAGTGTGAGGGTGAAGCAGAAGCGCTATCAATTACATGCGGAATTTTTACACAAATAATAGCGGGTCATATTTATTGTTTACTTTTTTAGCCATATACATAGATTATATGTTGATTATACATAATTATACACATATAATATATAAATTATGAATATATTATATGTCCACCGGCTATTTTTAATTTAAGTAAAAACTACCTTGTATAGCCCCTCAAAATTTTAATAGCCCATGTTTTCCCCTGGACCCGAAATGTCCCTCCGGCCCAAACATATTACATCTAATGGACCATAATCCATAATACACTGACCCGCCTCTTAACTCATTTTCCTATTGTACTCGACTCTCAATGCACTGACCCGCCTCTCGAAACACCATTTCTTCTCAAACACAGCTTCTCCATGTTTACTCTTGCTCTCAATGTAAGTCAAAATTTAGTAGGTTTTCCGATTTTTGTTCATAGTCAACTCTATAATGGAGGAAAAGAAGTCTTTGAAGAAAAATAGGAAGTTGAGGGCATCTCCACATTCTATGAAATTAGCTGGTAAATTAGTGAAATATAACCCTAGTTTTATTAGGAATGATGATAACGATTTTGAAGATTTACCAGAATTTGGGTACTATTTGGGGCTTGCAACCCCTCAATCTGTTGAAGCAATGCAAAATACCCCTATTAAAGGAATGCAAAGTACCTCTGTTGATAGAAGGACTTGTTCACATAGCGGGACTCCCAGTGATAGAGTAACGAGGTCATAAACTGCTCAGTGAATAGTTGTTGAAAAAGGCACAAGTTCAAAAAGAAAGATCAAAATGGTGGGAAAGGATGTTGTGAAGGATAAGGGTAAAGGTTCTAAAAGGAAGGCTAAAACGGATGGGGATGATGTTCCATTAAAAAAGAGAAAAGTTCATGTTGATCAAAAATGTTCTAGCTCATCTGATTTGAATGTATTTTCTAATGATATAATTCTGACTTGTGTGCACTTAGTTTATTTTAGTATGTAGAAAATTTATCCAATATAGTAGTTATGTTCCAGATTTGAATATAAAATGTATCATTCTTTTTCATATTGCATATAATTTGTATCAAGTCAATAAGTAATGTGCAATTTGTATATAAAGTGTATCATCTATCCACATAGTGTATACGTAATGTTTAAAGTGCGTATTTGTGATTGATATGAAGCTTATATATATTTATATTTATGTGTTGTGTGCAGCTTTGGGATTACTATGTTCCTTTGGGTGATCATTATAGTACTCGTATCAGTGTGCATACAAACTGCAGTATAGTAAAACATTTGAAAGATACTTTGGAAGATCAGTAGATTGAGATGTTTAGAAGAACATCTTTTGGTTATTTTGTGGACGTGCCCGAATTTTTTATACATAACCAACTTATCCATTCACTATTGCTTAGGGAAGTGGTATCACGTAAAGATGATGAGTTATGGATTAAAGTGAATAGCACCAAGTTGCGCTTTGGAATTGTAGAGTTTTGTATTATCACAGGTTTAAAGTGTAATGGTGATCCCAATAAGGATTATGAATCTTTCAAGTCGAGTCGGTTGATGGAATTGTACTTTACAAGCATGTCGAAAGTGTCTAAGAAATTGTTAAGTGGCTGTTTCTTAAAAAATATGTGAAAATCTGATGAGGACGCATTAAAGATTGCAGTATTGTATTTCATTCACAGTTTCCTATTTTCTATTACGAATGATGATTTAACAAAGAATGATTTTCTATTGGCTGAATCTGGTGATTTTGAGACTTTCCCTTGGGGAAAAGTGATTTTTAATGCTACGTTGGAGTCAATGAAGGATAAGGTTCGTAGTAGGAGAGAGATGTACCGATATGGTAGTTTGCCTTTGGTATTCCAGTTTTGGTTTTATGAATGTTGCCCCTATACTCACAAACATCTCGCTTACCGGATTGAAGATCTCGTGCCACGCATACTAAATTGGATTGTAAAGAAGAATATGACCATCAAGAGGTTGAGAAAAGAATTTTTTCTTTTAAGTCAAGAGCAGGTAAAAAAATATTTTTGTTTAGTTTACAACATTTTATAGCAATACATATGAATATACTTTTGATACATAAATTATGCATTTCTGATACATAAATTATATATTTCTAATACATAATATTAATTAACTGTATGATGTGTAGTTTTTACAAGTAATATATTGGTTGTCTTTTATTTTTTTAAAATTTCATGATTGCTAATTTTTTTATTTATTTGTAGTTGATGTTTGGTAATATTGCCCCAACAAATGTTGAACAAACAAGGCTTGAATTGCATGATTTTGTCCCTGTGTTTGAAGATCAAAATGCTGAAGTTAATCCAAGATATGATGTTGATGATTTCAACACTCGACCTAAAAAATGCTAAGAAGCACCCCAAAAATAAGCTAGAATCACAACCTATCAACAATGAGAATACGGATCCACAACCCAGTAACTTGAGTTCAAGCGAAAATGAGCTGAAACATCTGAGAAGTGAAATCAACACGATATAGTTCTATTTTGGCTTTGAGCAATTCTCACAACTTAATTGATATTCGATTTCACTTTTTCTTTTATAGGTAAACGACAAGGTTTCGTCTTTGGAGCAGTTAATGATTTCCTCATTTGAAAAGGTTTGTAAAGCTCTAGGTGAACGCGATACTTCAAAGGTATTCTCATAACTACGCTTATTTGTTATTTTTACCTGTTACCATAATTTTTACAACTTTTTATATATTTTTTCTGAACAGGGTAATAGAAAAGAGGACGACCATCATGATAGTAATGGCCACTATGATACTGGTGATATTCATAAAGATTATTTTGGCGATAAGGAAGTAGCAGAGAATAATTTTGGTAGTAAGGAAGTTATAGAGAGAAATATTGGCAGTGAGGAAGTTGTAAAGAAAAATATTGACATTGAGGTAAGTCTAGAGCAAATTGTTGATGTTATGGAGGGTGTGGTGAAGGATTCTATAGAAGCTGGTAAAAGTAGTGAAGGAGTTGGTTATGACGAAGCCTTGATTGAGGATGCCGAGCCTAAAATCACTACAATCACCCAGAAGTTTTGTGACAAGTTGTTGGTGGAGGATTCTGTACAAGTTGTTGGTAAAAACAGTTATGAGAAAGTTGGTGAGGACAATGGTTGGACTCGTGATGCTGAGGCTCAAATAACTGCAATCACCCAAAAGTATTTCAATCAAAATATTATACATGGTGATTGTTTAGGAGTGGATACAAATATTGCTACTATGCGGGGAGATCGTATAGTTGTTGTTGATCATGACATACCAGAAATGATCCCTAGAGAAAGGAAACCAGCAAGGGTCATGAAGTCACCATTCATGAACAAATTTGACTCTCGTGGTACCATCCAACTTGCTCAAGATAAGCCAACTAAGTCAAAGACGCCCATCTTAACAAATAAGTCCATCTTCACTATAAAGTATCCTTTTCAGGAAAATGTTGATAATTCTGTTGATTTCAGAATATTGTGTAAGTGGAACACTTTCATCAATAGAGGCTTAAGGACTAAT